CTTCCAACTACGACATTCGAAGCCATAATCAAACAGCATAAACTGGAATTTATGATTTTTTTTTACACATAGAAAAAGGACACACGTATTAAAACATGTCTGCGCTGCGCCGAATCGCCGATTAATTTGTGATCACATGGCTACTTTAAACGGTTCAATTAAGCCTTTACCCCAAAAGAGCGCACATTTACAAAGATAATGATAGATTCTCACGTTCATGCCTCACTTCTTTACAGAGGATGATTCTATATTATATTGATGTTCCACTAAATTAATCTGAAGAGTTTTGAGCGCTCTCTCCCGTCCAAAGACTATAGAATACCCTAATATCTTACAGGGACTTTGTCCCGTCTCACTACCTCCACACAAAGTGGAGCAGAAATTTCATCAAGAAGATTAAAAAATTAAAATAGGTATTTACAGGGTCCGTACGGTCATGAAAAACCCAGAAAGCTTTGGAATAGTAGTGGAAATTTATTTTACAAATCTCTATATAATAGAATATATGTTTAATCACGTCCTGAATCTCGGTGCGGGATTGCGCATTTTGGTTTTACTCATTTTCGCAGGTTTCACACGTTTGGAAAATTCCCGAAAACATTTATTTAATATACAATGTAGGTTAGATGAGTTAAAAAAAATCAAGAGAAGATTTGAGCAGAGTGATTTTTTTTCTTTTGTTCTTTAACACAGACGGACAGACAGCAGGTATACTAAAAGCTGCTGTCACTTTCATACCAAATGTTAATGTTAACAATGTTAATTCATTAGGCCTATTGGTTATTGTTAATTAATGTTAACAACAAAAGGCAAAATCACTCACTGCTCTCGACTGAATCATTTTTGTAACTTTAATTTCAAGAATTAATCTGTTGTTTAATTTAAAGTGAATTTACTGTTTTTAATTTACAGTTTATTCTATTTCTGCAGCATTTCTGTACCTGAATGTTTTCCACCAAAACTGTTTCTAAAACGAAATTCAGGTCCTGAGTTTAATTTATAATACTGGCTAAGCAAATTACCCAG